AGAACCAACTGTTAGATTCATTGATTCTTTGTGTTGTTTTCTTTCTATTTTATTAATTTCTGCTCTGATTTTGGTTATTTCTTCTCTTCTACTGGATTTGGGTTTCATTTGTTCTTGCTTTCCCAGTGTCTTTGCACTGTTAGGTCATTTATTTGGGCTCTTTGTAATTTTTTAATGTAGGCACTTAGAGCAGTAAACTTCCCTCTGAGGACTGCTTTTAATGTGTCCCAGAGGTTGTGTGTGTTGTTTTGTCCTTTTTGTTGAATTCTAGGAATTCTTTTATTTCTTTCTTAATTTCTCCTTTGACCCACTCATTGTTTAGGAGTGTGTGTTCAGTCCCCACGAGTTCAGGTAGTGATTAGAGCTTCATCCAGTATTGATTTTGAGCCTTCTTGCTTTGTGATTCGATAGAATGCATGCAATTATTTCAGTATATTTGTATTTGTGAGGTTTGTTTTGTGGCCCAGTATGTGGTCAGTTTTTGAAAAAGTTCCATGAGGTGCTGAGTAGAAAGTGTATTCTTTGGTGTTTGAGTGGAATAATCGAAAGATGTCTGTTAGGTCCATTTGATGTATTGCATCATTTAATTCAGACATCTCTGTTTATTCTTTGTCCAGTTGACCTGTCTAATGGAGACAGTGGGGTATTGAAGTCCCCTACTATTACTGAGTTGGGGTTAATCTGTGTCTTAAAGTCCTGTAGTGTTGTTTTTATGAATTTGGGTGCACCAGAATTTGGTGCATATATGTTAAGGATTGTAGTATCTTCTTGATTAACTGCTCCTTTGATCAGAATGAAGTGACCCTCCTTATCTCTTCTGATTAGTTTTACTTTGAAGTCTATTTTGTCAGATACTAGAATTGTAACCCCTGCTTTTTTCTTAGTGCCTTTTGCTTGGAATATTCTTTTCCATCCTTTTACCTTAAGGTAGTGCCTATCCTGGAAGGTGAGATGGGTTTCTTGCAGGCAGCAAAGACATGGATTTTGTTTCTTAATCCATTCACTTAGCCTGTGTCTTTTGACTGGGGAGTTCAGTCCATTGATATT